TCTTAAATTTTTTTTAAAGAATTTATTTAAAAACTTATTTTTTAATTAATATTTTTAAAATTTGATCATTAGATCAAAAATTTTCTTTATGTATGCCAATTGCAAATTATTCTAATAGATTTAATCATTTCGTTGGTTACTAAAAATTTAATATCATTAAAGGCATGTCAATAAATAAAGTTTTTTTATTAAAAAATTATAAGTATTAAATCAATATAAAAATTGATATACATAATCTATATTAATAGAAATTTTCAATCCAATGATTTAAAAATATTAATTAGAATGTAAGTTTTTAGATAAATTCTCTAAAAATTTTTTGCGAAGATGAGGCTTACACTATCTTTTTTTTTTCTTACAATATAATTTTCTTATATAATTTTCTTAGGGGGTGTTTGGTTACAAGAAACTTTTTCTCTAAATTTTTCTAAACTTTTCTTTTTATAAAATTGTTTATGTATTTTTAAATATTAATACTACAATAAAATGATGGTAAAAGTGACAATTTTAGCTTTTATTTTACTTAATGCAATTTTTAACCTATAAACTTTTCTTCTTAACTTTTCTTATATAGAACTCATTTGACAATTTTTTTACTAACTCTTTCTATACTAATTTCTTACCCAATAAAAAAAGTTATGGGAAAAGTATACATGAGTTCCAACTCTTAAAATAAATGTTAAATGCTAATTTTGATCCTTCAACTTAAAGTTTTGCATAATTTTCATCCCTCAACTTTTTTTTACACTTTTTTGATTCCTTAATTATGGAAAATGCATTTTTTTAGTTTTTCGTTAGTTAATCCGTTAAGTTTATTTAAATTTGAACATTTTTAGTTCCTCAACTTAAAGTTGATGGACAAAAAATGTGCATATATTAGAAATTGAGGGATTAAAAATGTGCAGATTCAGATAGACTTAACGGATTAATTGACAGAAAGATTAAAAAAAGTGCATTTTTCATAGTTAAGGGACCAAAAAAGTGCAAAAAAAAGTTGAAGGATGAAAATTGTGCAAAACTTTAAAGTTAAGGGACCAAAATTGACATTTAACCTAAAATAAACTAGAGTTCTAACTTTAAACTACTTTGTTTTATTTCATTAAAATTCATCAATTCAAAATTTAAAAATTTATTTTATTAAATGTTGATATTTAAATTAAGAAAATGATTATATTAAAATATATAATTGGTTTTCAAATCCATGTATCAACATTTAGTAAAGTAGATTTTTGAATTTTAAATTGAAATTTCAATTTCTAAATAGAGATTGAGACTCCAATTTTTTTCAAATCAAGATTAATATATACTAACCTCAAAAATTAATAACCCAATAAAATTTCACTATAAAACTTATCAACTTTTTATATAATATTTTTCTAACCATTTTCATAGTCTAAACAAGTTTTCACTAGTAAATTGGCCTTCTAACCAAATAGACCCTCATTGAAATCCCTACCAAATACCATCCGGTGTGGTTATGGCCATTAATGAAAATATTAAAGCTACCAAAACAATGTTAAAAAATGTTAATTTTGCTTAATTTAATTATTAAGAACAATTAATAATTAATTAAATAAGTAATAATCATTACTTAATAAATTAAAATTAATTTATAAACTTATATTTTTAAAAATCATAACTACTTTTTTAAAAAAAATTTATAAATATTAATCAAATATATATAAATTTAATTATATATAAATTTATTAACTTCAACAATTCTGCTAGTTGTCATGACCACACCCATGACATTCACCATCCAACTATACCTTTTTTAAATCAGTGTTACCATTAAGTGTATTCTACAGTACAAAAGTCTTACTTTATGGCAAACATCAATCTCCCATTTCATACACAAAAGAAAGCAATCAATTAAAGGAAGAGAAGCCAACCGGGCCTGAGGCCAAGTGGTTGGCCCAAGCTATAAGGTTTGGGTGAGGTGAAAATCAGGGTTTTAAGTCCTGTCACCGTCGTGAATTTCAATTTGTGATATAATGGCTGCGCGCCTCATATGAGGGGTGGAATGTTCACTTATTTGAGAAATTTCAGTTGCTAATATTTAACTTTACTAATTTTTTAATTATTACCCTTGTAAAAAAAAAAAAAATTAAAGGAAGAGATGTTTGAAACTGGTGGTGTTTGACCCGACGATCTTCCCTAGAATCCAGTCGAACGCTCGCCCGCTGCTAATCGATGCGTGTGGATAACCTTTGATCGTTGACTCATTCACTGCCATCATTATCCGATTCGGCTCACTCTCCATACTTCTGCTATCGACTGAGTCACTAAGTCAAGAGATGCTTCACGGTTCACAATCTCTTTTGGCTGGCCTTCGGAACACTATTATAACATGTTTAAATAAAAATTAATAACGAAATTTTTTTTTAAAAAAAAAAGAAGAAACGAAAAGTAAAGAATTAGTATTATAATTAAATTTTGTGAGGATAATATAATTTATAGAGCAACAGTCTTTAATTTAATTAATTTAATAGATGGTCCTGCCTTCTCCTAACTGTTGACTGTCTATAACTTTAATTTTAGTCTTTGGCACCATCCTTGGCAAGCTTATCTATTTTTTATGTGTGCATGTATGATATTCCTCAAAACTTTAGTAGACCCGAAGAAAACCTTACGAATCAGTAGTTATCCAGGAATATAAGAAAAAGAAGAAATTAAAAGTAGAAGACGAAAGGAGAAGACTAGTCATAGTTGAATGCCTGCATAGCTACCAAATTTTCTAGACAAATTATTATTATTAAGTGTTGTTTTTTTAGTAATACAGCTTATAAAGATTAAAGAAAATTATGATATCTTAATAATTAATATATCAAAAATAATAAAAAATAGTAAGTGTTTTTAATAAATTAATAAGTATTGAACATTTGTTAAACATATTGAAATAATTTTATATAATATTTTAATATTTTCAATATTAAGAAATTTTAATTTTTTTAATTTAATGAAGGGCTAATCCTTCTCTTATATTTAAGTTCAATATCATAAAATTGAACTAACACTAAGGAAAGCTGGAAGCTTGGAATTTCCAAATAAACAATACATAATCCTCTACCACCATTAATAAAGGATTATCTTTTATTCTATAATTTAAGAAAAAAAATTAAAGTATTGATAAATGAGAATTATTTTTAACTAGCCGGTTATTAAAATTGCCGATTTTCCCATTCTGTAATCACCAAGCAGCAACTTTTGTACTTATTATAAAATTTGGCAAAAGACTGTTTAAGTCTTCGTCCTTGGTTTCTATCAGTTTCGCCATTGTCTTCTACTGTATAAAGGTCTTTCTTCTTCCTCTGATCAATTTTATAGGAAGGATGGCGATTAGAAAACACCCTTCTAATTCGTGAAAAGATCACCGGATTTGCTCAAGTAATATTGAATCCCAAAATGCTGACTCTCACCATCTTCTTCATCTCACTCCTCCATCTTCTCCTCCCCACCACCACCACCGCCCCAGTCTACAATGCCACTGACATCATCCTCCTTGACTGCGGCTCACCGTCCAATACTACGTCAATGGATGGCCGAAACTGGTATGCCGATCCGCGATCTATATATTCGTCCTTCAACGACCCAAACTCATCATTTTCTTTAAATGCCTCCCACCAAGAGCCTGGGGTTCCCAAAGTTCCATACCTCTCTGCTCTCATCATTAAATCTAAATTCACCTACAGCTTTTCCGTCTCCCCTGGCCCAAAGTTCCTTCGTCTCTACTTCTACCCAGAAAAATACTCCACTTTTGACATGACCGCTTCCTTCTTCAACGTCACTGCGAATAGCTACACCCTCTTGAAAAATTTCAGTGCGCATATGCACCTGATGACCAACGTGGACGTCTCGATCAAAGAATTCATTGTTCCTGTGTGGGACAATGAGATTCTTAATGTAACTTTCATCCCTTCTCGGAACTCTTACGCTTTCATAAACGGCATCGAAATTGTTTCCGTGCCAAGCAGCCTCTACTTAAGAGGTTGGGAAACCCGACTTGTGACTGTAGACCATGGCCGTTCCTTCCCTTTCGATAATACCGTCACCTCCCTTGAGACTCTTCATCGACTGAATGTTGGCGGGAGTCGGATTGTGGACGTGGATGACACAGGAATGTACCGAACCTGGAGTCTAGATGCAGATTATCTCGTTGAGTCAAACTGGACTATTCCGATTTTGAACAAATCCCAACGGCTTCAATTTGAAAACGGAACACCAGCGTACACCGCACCCGAGGAAGTTTACATTACTTCTCGTATGATGGGCAATGATGCTTCGTTGAATTTGAAATCCAACATGACCTGGAAGTTCTCCGTTGATGCGGGGTTTCACTACCTCATCAGGCTTCATTTCTGTGAGCTTCTGGCGGAAGTCACAGGCCCGGATCAACATGTTTTCGACATATTCATTAACAATCAAACAGTGGAAACAAACATAGATGTGTTTTCTATGAGCGGCGGCATAGGATTTCCGATGTACAGAGACTATAGGGTTGACAACAGGACCCAAGGGAGGGACCTCTGGCTAGCACTACACCCTCAAACCGGAGGACTTGTTGATGCCTTCTTGAACGGTTTAGAGCTTTTCAAACTGAATCAATCCGATGGTAACCTAGCTGGACCCAATCCTGACTCGATTTCTAGTCCCGCACCTCCAGACTCGCAAGGCCCAAAGAGTAAGGTAACATCACTAATTTTGCCAATCATTGGAGCTATTCTCGGTGGTTTTGCTCTGGTTTCTCTCCTCGTGAGCTTTTTCGTCTTTCAAAGACACAGAAAACTGAAAGACTCGCTCTCTTTCACATCAAAGTTCTTTACCACAAAAACCTCCTCCTCGTTACCGTCTGATATCTGTTGTCACTTCTCAATTGCCGAGATCAAAGCAGCCACTCAAGATTTCGACGATGCGCTTCTAATCGGAAGTGGAGGATTTGGAAACGTTTACAGAGGGATTATGAAAGGTGG